AGGACATTTCAATTTTTATTACCAAAATACAGGAAATGCAGAAAATTATTTAGCAGAAATCCCAACTAATACTGTTCCAATCCATCTACTAGCTGAGTCTGACAGTAGCTGGCCTTTCAGTCTTGGGATAATTACAGGAAGCAGCACGGCCGCAGACTGAACCCCGTTCGTGGATCTGTGAGTGCCAGGACAGCAGTTCAGACAGATAGGGCTGCAGCCTACTAAGCACTTGTTTGATGATATGACCATGCCAAACCCCAGTTTCTCAATCAATTGTAGCAGAGAATAAGTTTTGTAAAGATAGTATTTAATTTTATACTTGATCTTGTAACAATTTGCTAGAGTGAACATTATCTAGTTTCACTGCAGTGGTGATTACATTTATTGCTATTAACTGATAACAGTGAAATGTGGCCACTACGCCTCTCTTGAACAGTGATCTGTTGTATGTCACTGCATTCTCTAGGAGGCCTTAAGCATGACATAATTAGCTTCCTTCTACTTCCATGCACTTACAAAGATTTTCAATCTACGATGGAGCAACCCAGTTTAATTTACTCACAACTGGCATGGTGAAAAGTCAAAGACAGGTGTCAGCATGAAATGATACACTTCATTAACCACTTTTCTCTTTCAAAGAAAGAAGAATAGAAGTAGTCAAACTGTCTTCAAAACAAAATAAACAATGTCACAAACAAGAACTTACTTCCTTCAGGATAGTCTCCATCAGGACCCGTTCCATGAGTTGGAGTGTCATGCTTGGTTCGTATCCACACTCCCTGGTTAACACTGCAAGGTTGGGTCCAGTCACAAAATGGTCTTGAGTTGTTGTTAAAATCACATCTGGTGAGGTAAGCTGAAATACAATACATTAAAGTAAGGAAAAGGAACTAGTATGTTGAAAAGCTGCCTTGGATTTTAACAGCATTAACAACATGCAACTACCTGTTTCAGGATCCCATGTTCTCAAGCCACCAGTTGGTCTTTGCTTGAGCCTGCCAAGAAAAAGAACAAAGTGAAGGCCTTGTGGAATTAGCAGCTCAAAAACTGTTTAAGAAAGAATGTTGGACCTCAACATATGTCTTTGAGTATTTCACTGAATAACTGAGTGGATCCAGGGTTTCATTCATGTCTGACTCTTTCACTTCCCATATGTACCTACTGCTTCACAATAAAGCTCTGAGAGTGAGTCAAAGGTGGGATATGTTTACTCCAACTAGTGTGTAAAGATCCTCTGCTCTGTATTCCACATAACTGAAAGGAGAACAGCTTTTCTAGGTACAGAGAGCTACTGAAGGGTTGGATAAACCTCAGACAATACCAGGATAATAGCAAAGACTTGCTATTAACTTGCTCATGGCATTGTCATCTCCACTGCTGCAAAGCAAAGTGTTTAAATGCCAATAAACTAGTGTACTCTGTAACTGTTATTTGTTGGAAGGATATGTATCATTCAGCTCTTCTAATTTACCCCAAAAATCCTGCAGAACAAAAGCAGTTACAAATGCACAGTCTTTGTGGTGCTACTGAGTCCTGCAGAGATGAGCTGACACAAGACCAAAATGTCACTAGAAATCACAACATAGATGGCTCCACTCTTTATGTGTTCTGCAGAGGGAAGGAATTTTCAGGACTGCAAGGCTACAACAGTAGTCCTTGACATGGTCTGAAGGTGGTCCACAATTTCAGATCGCAGGATTCTTTTCCAGCCTCTATGGTACCTTATCCCTAATTATTGTTATTATACTTGACACAGTATAGAAAATCTGTCCCTAAGTGAATACATCACAGTGAATTTCCCCACTGCCTCTCAAAATCTAAGCAATGAAATTCAGAGAAACTAGAAAAATCAGGAGCCAATATCACACACTCAGTTCATCAATGAAATGCATCAAGCAACTGGAAAACAGGCTGAACTAAGGCTAAGGAGAAAAGAGAATATATGAAGACAGATGAAGAGAAAAATTTATTCACCCTTCCTACATTTCTTTTTCCGTGAGAAAGGGAAAACTGTGACAAGTTGCCACTTAGTCTCTATTCAGTGCTATCTCTAAACAGAGGCAAATCTAACATCAGGCAAATCCTAAGGCAAAGGTTATGTAAGCATATTCAGAATCAGAAAGATTTTATAACTACTGCAGTTATTTTGTCAAGATCTCTCCTCTTTGGATGCATCTTTAGAAATCCACATGTTACAGCTTTCTCTCACAGATGTAAGCCAGTGTAGAACTGAGCAACAACAAAATTTCTTCTTTTTAAAAGTTGCTTGGTTCAGTTGTATATCATTCTACATTTTAAGAATGAAGAACTATCCCCCATTCAAAAAGTTAAGACAGAATATTTACCATTAATAGCTAAACTCCCTGAATTAAGCTACATTCAGTACTGTGCTACTTACCCTGTGATATTCAGCACTGAAATACAGAAAAATATCAAAGTGTATGACAAGTGCCAAAGGGTCCCCATGCTAGGAAACAAAGTAAAATCTTCTGTGTCCTACAGTTTGCATAGTAATCCACCAGGAGTACTCAGCAAGGAGGAAATGAGGACGATCTATGGTGAAACAGGAGAATATATTCACCAGAGGGTGGAGGCGATTATAAAAATCTGTTCAGCTATGTATCAGTTATGTTCCCTGGGTTAACTACCTCAAGAAAAGCACATGTGAACCAAAAGCTCATATTCTGTGTCACTTGCTTTGACACCCTTATTTTGCTGGAGAAACTGATTTGATTTTGGTCATTTTTGTTGCTGCTGCTGTATGTTTTTAAAGTCTGCAACTTTAGAGGGATTTCTTTCTCACATTGACAGCAACTTTCTTCATTTTAAAACTCCTGCCTAGCTTTCACTGCTAGTATAACTGAAGTTCCTGATATTGACTAAGTTTTCTACCTTTCTGAAACTAGTATTCAGCAGAGCAGATAACAAGCTTTCAATTTACACACAACAGTCATGTCATCATAAACACTATTCAGGAACCTGCTGAAATATTATTGCGACCATATTACTCCTGCTTAAAAATAAAAGGACCATTTTCTGGGCTGGTTGGTGGCCCAGAAAAAGCAGGCAGATCATTCCCACTGCCACTTGGGCCATTACTTTTCTGTTCTTTTGCAGCATTCCTTACACTGCAGTCTGCAAAGACATGGCTCAAATGTAGCCAGATTCCCTACTTTACCTGAATTTAATGAATGACGAGAATCAAAGGAGTGTGAAAGTAGAGGAGGAAGTGTACAGTGTTTCCTCACATTGCCTCAAAACCCCAGACCATGGCTCTTTTTTTTGTCTAAATGTAGTGAGGCTTTCTGGAAAAATGGCCTCTTAGTTACAACCACTTTACTTTTGTGATTATATTGTGATTATTAAGGTCATTAAGGCTTCATAATTCAAGTATGGAATTTCTTCTACTCTCTTTCCCCCTGCTCAGCACAAAATATTTTCACTTGCCTTTGACAAGTAATTGAAGAGGTGCTTACAGAAACAAAGATAAATGAGGAAGGATCAAGGGAGGCTTAGCAGAAACACAAATATTTGAATTTAGGTGTTAACTGATGTGTTGACAATGGGCCTGGTGCTGCATTCTGCCACAAACTCATGCTTACACAAGCATTTTCAAAGCCAGAGCATGGATGTTCAC